ACTGAGCCACCCAGGTGCCCCTCACGACCATTTATAAGCACTTACGCTGGCATTGTTCAGTACTTCCCACCCTTGACATGCTTTTGTCCCCAGGTGGCAGGTGGTTGGACTGAGGCCTGGACAACCCTCATAACCTGCCCATGGTCAGTAGGGGGCAAGGGAGGGGCAAGGCCAGGAGGCATCTGCGGATCCAGGAACTTCCTCCAAGGCCCCTGGCAAGCCCAGGGACAGGAGAGTGACCGAGCTGGCCCTTTGCATTACAGAGCACCTTTATGTGTCTCGTGTCCTCGGATCATCGTAACACACGGATGCACGGGTTCTATGATCGCTCGCACTTGGCAGGTGCAGGCCCGGCTGGGTGAGAAGGAGCTTCCTGGGGCTCACATCTAGAAGTTGGCAGAGCCAGGGCCTCTGGCTCGAGGAAGCACGAGGTCGTGGCTGCCCCTGGCAGCAGGGGCCCAGGCAGTACCCCAGAGCTGGAGGTGGCCTTTGGCGGGGGGGCCAGGGGCCGTGAGGGCAGGACCCCAGGGCTCAAGTAGCTGCCACCCATTGCCTACATGGTTTCTAGATCCCTGGGACTGGGGGGTTTGTTGGGCAGTTGCTCTACTCCCCCTGGCCCCCGCCACAGCCAGTGAGGTGGGCGGAGGGGCCCAGAGCACAGATCCCCCAGTGTCTGGGCCGGGATTATCCTGCAGACCCCACCTGTCACCGCATGTGTGGCCAACCAGGGCCACTGTGGATTGCCTGCCCTGTACCCCCCAGCAGGGACGCTTGGCTCCAGTCTGAGCAGCTGTCTCTAGTCCCCGCCCCTCAGTGTCCTCGGCCTCCATCTCTTGGGGTTTTCATCTGTGGAGCACAGGAGGCTCCTGCCATCTGGAAACTCCCAGAGGAGCACCGTTTCCACAGCCCAGGGACAGGCCCAGGGTCTGCAGGCCTCAGGAGGGTGGTCCTAGGGCCTGGCCCCCTGTTGCTCCCCCTGCCTGAGCCCCAGGACGCCGGGAGCTGGTGGCCCTGGGTTCCCACGTAGACCAGCAGGAGCCAAAGGGTCTGGTGCATCTTCAGCTGTCCCGGTGGTGGGGGGTGGAGCCTGTGGCCTGAGGAGAAGCTTGACCCTGCCTCTGCCTCCTTGCTGGTCCTCCTGGTGAGCCCTCAACACGCAGCCAAGCCCCTCGTGGAGTCATTTCCTCCAGCCTGCTGTGTCTGCGGCTCTGGGTCCCACGTCCTGCTTCCTGTGCTCTTTCTCGGGTCCCCGTAGCACGCGAGGCAGAGCTCTTCTGGCTGACGCGACCCTGTCCTCGTCCACAGGATGAAGCCGACACACACCATCGTCAACTGCTGGTTCTGCAACCAGGACACGGTCGTGCCGTACGGGAACCGCAACTGCTGGGACTGTCCGCACTGTGAGCAGTACAACGGCTTCCAGGAGGTGCGGGCCCAGGGAGCCGGGGTGGCAGGGTCACGCTGCTACAGGTGGAGGCTCGGGGTTCGCAGCCGGCTCTTTCTGGCTCCGAAGCCCCTTGCCTGCCTTGCGTCAGACCAGGCGTCGGCAGGCTCCCCGCGGGCCGTGCTCGGCCGCGACCGCCCAGCTCTGCCACGCCACCGGGCTCTGCTGCGGGAAGACTGCACGCACAAACCCAGGCGGCCAGCCCGCGGGGTGCAGGTTGGCGGGGTGGGGGGCAGGCTGCACTCTGGGGGCTCCACGTGAAGTCTCTTCGGAAGAAAAGCTCCCACCGCTGTGTGTAATGAGATCCGCCACCTCTCGTCTGGAGTGGCGCCGGCTGGGGCGTCTGCTCTCCCGTCGGCGTCGGTGGGGCTGGGCTCCCCCGCTGACTCCCCCCCCGCCCCCAGAACGGCGACTACAACAAGCCCATCCCCGCCCAGTACCTGGAGCACCTGAACCACGTGGTGAGCAGCGCGCCCCGCCCCCGCGCGCCCGCGCAGCCGCAGCAGTGGGTGAGCAGCCAGGTGCTGCTGTGCCGGAGGTGCAGCCACCACCAGACCACCAAGATCAAGCAGCTGGCCGCCTTCGCGCCGCGTGACGAGGTGAGGTGGGCGTGAGGCGGGGGAGGCGCGCACGGGGCCCCCTCCTCCCCCCGTGTGGCTGCAGCCGTCGGGGCTCCCGGCCTGGGCACCTCGTGGGGACCCCGGCGCCTGCCAGAGGGGTTTGTCCCCGTGCGGGGCTTGGGGGGGGTCCTTGGGCTCCCGCGCGGGCCCTGTCGGAGCCGTCGGCGTCCGTGTCCCTGGGTCAGTCTTGTCCACTGGCGGGGCAGGCGGTTTGCTCTGGAGTTGGCGGAGGACGCTCCCGGCTTCTGGGAGAGGAAACTAGGTCAGAGAGAGAGCACAAGCAGGGGGAGCGGCAGGCAGAGGGAGAAGCAGGCTCCGCTTCGCCGAGCAGCCCGGTGTTAGGAGCTCGCCTGCCCTGGGCCCGCCGCGGAGCCCAGCAGGCCTGGTTAGCTAGCATGGCCCAGCTGCCTGCCCCCCGCCAGGCCTCGCCCTGCCTGGGGGTTCGCTGACCACTGGAGAAGAGCCCACGTCTCCCACGGTTCTGCCGGCGGGAAGGAGTACAGCACGGAGCGGTGGCTGGGCAGGGGGGAGATGGGAAACCTGCATAAAGAAGGGAAGACGTGCAGTTTGGCAACCAGAGCAGTCGTTCTGGCATATTCGGTCCCAGGGAGAGACCAAACTGATAAGTCTCCTGGCCACTGCAGACTGCAATATTTGACTCCCCTGGGGAAGGGGAGGTATGTTGCTGCATCTCTGGAGGGAGGAGGGCTGAGACTCGAATCTGGGCTCTTTTCTGAAGCCCAAAGGACCCTCCAGCTCCCACGAAAGCCCTTGACTCTAGTGTTTTCTGGGCCCTTGGTCTTCGGGGGAGGGCAGGCCCTGCCTCTGGGTGGTTCTGTCTGCATCTAAGTAGCGTCAGCCTGGAGCTGTTTCTCCTGTGACTCACCTGCCTTCCCGGAGCCCAGGAGTGGAGCCTGAAGCAGGGCCCATGACCCAAGCCCCTGGCTTCCGGTGCCTCCCGTGCGGCCACAGAAGCTGGCTAGAGAGGCCCCTGTCGCCCGTGGGCCCCTGCCGTGTGCCGGCTTCTGGGCCGGGCCTGCCGCTCGGGCGCCGGCCTCACCGCAGGCAGTGGGCCGTCGGTCTGGCCGGGCACCGCCGGAAGCAGGTTCCAGCAGGGACGCCTTGCTCGGGGTCGCCCCCGAGGACGCTGAGCCGCTGTCGTGCCCCCACCCCCCGCAGGGCAGGTACGACGAAGAGATCGAGGTGTACCGCCACCACCTGGAGCAGATGTACAAGCTGTGTCGGCCCTGCCAGGCGGCCGTCGAATACTACATCAAGCACCAGAACCGCCAGCTGCGCGCCCTGCTGCTCAGCCACCAGTTCCGGCGCCGGGACGCCGACCAGACCCACACGCAGGTTGGAGCCGGGCCCCCCCGCTGCGTTCAGGGGCTCACACCCTTGAGTGGGGCAAGAAACCCCGTGCGTGGAGGGCAGCTCTTCAGAGCCGAGAGCCTTCCCAGGGGCCCCATCCCACCCTGTCCCCATCCCCACCTGTCCCCAGGCCCCTTCGTGTCCTCAGCCTGAGCAGGGATCCCAGGAAGAGTGGCTCAGGGTCGTGTTGCATTTGTGTTTGTGCTCTTGAGCGGGGGCTTGTCAGGGCCCTGCTGTACGTGGCTGCTGCCCCAACACCGGCATGTGTCCCCCACGGCACCCTTCGTGGTGGGTCTGCCCTTCGGCCCTGTGACCCCCGGGAGACCAAACTTGGGGAGTTAACTAACTTGCAGGGCGCCGCGCACCAGGATTTGAACCCGGGGCTATCTTGCTGAAAGTGTTTTTAATTATTATCACTATACTAGGTTGATGGAATGTTCTGGTTTAAAAACTCTAACGTGAAGCAGGTGCATTTAGAAGTAAAACCATCCACCACAAGGGCGCCTGGGTGGCTCGGTCGGTTAAGCGTCTGCCTTCTGCTCAGGTCATGCTCCCAGGGTCCTGGAATCGAGCCCCACATCGGGCTCCTTTGCTCGGCGGGGAGCCTGCTTCACCCTCTGCCTGCCGCTCCCCCTGCTTGTGCTCTCTGTCTGACAAATAAATAAAATCTTAAAACAAAACAAAAAAAACCACCCACCCCAGAAATATTCCAGGCTGCACCCAGGCCCCTGACCACAAGGCCACAGCCCCGGCCCCCACGCCCACTTCTGCATAGTCGGAAGCCAGACACTCTGACTTTTGGCCTTCCTCCCCAGCACTGTGTTCCTAGACCAGACAACTTATTGCTGTGTTCTTTTATCTGCATTTTGGCCTGAGTTATCTCTGTGTGTAGTTAAGAGCATGATAGGAACTTTTGATGAGACCTTGACAAAATGAAAAACGTACTAGAAAAAACAGGTCACCGTGATATCAAAAGGGTTTCTCTAAAGAACGTAGCAGAGCAGTAGCCTACCCAGCATAGTGACTTCCGCGGTGGATGAAGGCCGAGAAAGGAGACAGATCAGTGGAACACAGCAGTAAACCTAGAAACAGCTGGGAGTACGTAAGAATTTAAGACCCAGTAAAGACACTGTCTCTGACCATCAGGAACCAGGTGGATTTTTTTTTTCCCCCAAGGGGGGCTTGGACTCACAACCCTGAGATCAAGACCTGAGCTGAGATCAAGTCAGACACTTAACTGACTGGGCCACCCAGGTGCCCCTGGAACCAGGTGGATTCTTCAGCAAGTGCTCTGGGGCCCTGGCCAGACCCCCACGCAGAGCGGGCACTGGGAATGGCTGTCGGTGGTGCTGGCCATCTCGCTAACCAGTCTTCTCTTGGTCCCTCAGAGCTTCTCATCCGCGGTGAAGGCCCCGGTCCAGGTCATCGTGCTCCGCGCCCTCGCCTTCCTGGCCTGTACCTTTCTGCTGACCCTTGCACTCTATGGCACCAGCAACCCCTTTGCCCCAGAGGCCACCCTGCCCCCAGCCCTGCTGCCCGGTGGCAATGGCTCAGCCTCACCCGACAACAGCACCGCCCTGGGGGCCGAGGGCTGGCAGCAGCTGCTGGGCCTGCTGCCCGAGCACGCGGCAGAGAAGCTGCGCGAGGCCTGGGCCTTCGGGCAGAGCCACCAGATGGGCGTCGTGGCCCTGGGCCTGCTCACCTGCCTGCTGGCCATGCTGCTGGCTGGTCGCATCAGGTGTGTGTGGAGCCAGGCGGGGCGGGACTCGGTGGGAGGAAAAGCTCCGTGGTGTGGCTGGAGCAAGACATGGTCCCTCTTCTCTGGCAGCTGGGAGCCAGGGTGGGGGGGTGGGGCAGAGGAAACAAGTGTGACCTGCCCAAGGGAGTGGTGGCACTTAGAGCTGGCCTGCCCCTCCCTGCCGTGCGCTTCGGCCACCTGGCATGCTTGTCCCCCTCAGGCTCCTCGCCTGCAGAGTCGGGGTGGTAATGACCACCTACCTCTCTGGTTGTTGGGGGACCAGGTGGGTCCCTGGCCCCCCCGTGCACTTGGAGACTACTGAATGGTGTCCGCGTCATGCCAGTGGCTCTGAGGGACGGTCCTCAGGCCGGCTTTACAGGCTGGGATCTGGAGGCCCATTCAGAGTCACGCAGCGTGTGGGTGTGGGAAGTGGGAGTCAGAGGCCCCTGCTCTCCTCTTGGCCCTGGACTCTGACCTCTGAGCAGGGCCAGGGATGGACGTGGGAGGCTGGAAGGGGCAGGAGGGGGTATGTTCTTACCCTGCCCGCCCTGGGCCCTCACCGCCGCCCCTCCTCTGTCCCGCAGGCTCCGGAGGATCGATGCCTTCTCCACCTGCCTGTGGGCCTTGCTGCTGGGGCTGCACCTGACCGAGCAGTACCTACAGGCCGCCTCACCCGGCTGGCTGGACACGCTCAAGTTCAGCACCACGTCCCTGTGCTGCCTGGTGGGCTTCACGGCAGCAGTGGCCACAAGGAAGGCGACAGGCCCGCGGAGGTTCCGGCCCCGAAGGTCAGAGAAGCAGCAGTGACTGCGGGGGGAGGACAGACGGACGGACAGGCCCGGAGCAGGGCCCCTCTGACTTGCGTCTTACCTGCCTCACTCCTGCCCTTGCCCAGCCTAGTGCCCCCTGTCCTTCCGGCACCACCAAGCCACCCTCCCAAGTGCCCTCTAGCTGCCCACCACTGCCGCCGTCTTTCTGGCAAAGACCCCGTCAGTGCCCTGAGACTGGATCACGGGCAGCACCCGCACGGCCTGCCTCTGACCCAGGGCCTCCAGCTGGCAGCTCTAGGAGCCCCCACCCTGGCCGCGCCCTTTCCCGGGTTCTTACACCGTGGGTGAGCGTCGGGTCCCTGCTGCTCCTCTCACTTTGCTCCATCCCTGAGCCCCTGGCTCGGGCTGGTGACAGTGGCTGTGGGCTGGGCCCTTGCCGCATGGCCTCCTTGGGCTGCTCGGCGTGGGCAGGTGCTGCTGAGCAGGGGCCGGAGCAGAGCCCCCCCGCCCCCCCCCCCGGTCCTCACATCACTTCCCTGGTCCATCCTTCTGGGCCTGACAGTGGTCCGGCCATCCCTCACGGAGCCGGGGAAGCAAGAGGACACAGGGCTGCGCCCCCGGGTTTACAGTTCGCTTGCAGCTCCAGGACCTTCCTGAGACCCATGGTCCCTCAGCCTCCTTCCCCAGGAATGGAGAACACAGTTCTGGGGTCCCTACTGGGCCTGACCATGAGTGTGTGGGGCGAGGCTCTTGAGGGGGACAGTAGAGAATCCTGCTGCTCGTATGGTCAGCAAGTGTCTTCTTAGCAGCCAGGCTGCTGGGGGAGTTCACCCAGGTGGGGATCCGAGCAGTCTTTTCTTTATTCGTCTATTTTTGGGGCACTGCTATGGGCTAGACAGAACCAGGGCACACACGCGCTGCTCCCTCTTCTGAGAGGCAGCTGCTCTGCCCTTAAAAGCCAGGGCCCAGTCCTGGTGGCCGAGCCCTCCGCCCACCCCTGTAGGGGCTGGGGTGCAAGGTTCCCTAGCAAAGGCTGCCCCACCTGGCAGTGGGGGCCTGAGTGCTCTTGGCCCGCTCCCCTACCGCGTGCCTGGGATGTCCCGTTGCCTCCACTCAGCCCCCGTATGGTGCCTGGGGAAAGTTCTTGCTCCCTGCGGATAGCACGGGGCAGGGGCCCAAGAGTGACACACGTGACACTGGGTCATTTGTCACCTTCTCCCTCTCTGGCCTGTCACTACCCTCCTGGCTCCTGGCACTGCTCATGGAGGCCACTGAGGCTCCCGCGTTCCAGTTCCCTGTGGGGCAGGCGGAAGGGTGGGGACAGAGCCACCGCTCCCGGGGAAGCACGCCTGCTACTCACTAGCTGGTTCCAGCCAGGCCCCGGGCTCTTCCCAGCCTCAGTTTACCATCTGTGAAATGAGAGGTGGACCTTTCTCCAGGGCCCCTGAGTGCTGCCCTTGGCGTGGACACACTGTGGACACAGAAGTGCCGCCCGCATGCAGAGGAAGTAGTTAGCCTAGGGTGCCGTCTCTGAGTGCTCTCCCTGCAGGTGGGCGGCCCAAGGCTGTCTCCGTCCTGCATTCTGCACTCTGATGACTCCTGCCAGGGCCGGTGTGCCCTGCCACTCATCACTCTGAGCATCAGTCCCCCTCCAGATGGGACCCCAAGGATGCCAACCACTTCCCTTTACACATCGGAGCCGGGGGAAGGCAAAGCAGATGACGTGCACGTGAGGCTCATGTGAGCCTGAGGGGCAGGTCGGAGAGCACCCTGGCCAGGCCCTTCATGGAGCCTGGGCCCCACCGTCACAGTCTTTCTATGCTCTCGGGGTCCTAAGAAGCCACCCCGCCCCACTCACATGCGTGTGCGGCAGCCCTTGCCCCGCCCTGGCACCCGGGTGGGTCTGGAGCTGCCCCCTTAGGCGTGTGGCCCCCGATCAAGCCCCTGCCTGGCTGGGCTCGGCTTGTTCTCTGCAGAGGGTGAGGTGCAAGGTGACTGACCAGGAAGGAGGAGTGGGGAACCTGGCTAAACTGGGAGCGAGACCTGCTGGCCTGGCTTGGCTGTTGGGCGGTGGGGGGAGGGGGGGCGCGGCCCGCTGCCTGTCCCTTCACCCCCATCAGTCTGCCTGAGAGGGGAGAGGAGGCCGCAGGTACCAGGCCGAGAGCCAGTGGTCTGGCTGTGCGTGCCCTCGTACACGGAATCTCCCGTTTTCAAGGAAACGGACAGTGTGATGCTAATTACTGCTTTTTTTGGCGTAGAGTAGAAGCAGGACATCTGTGTGTATGTGTGTATTTAAGTTAAATTATTTATAATAACCATAACCAGCGCTCTCGCTGGCCAGGAGCCCCTGCTGAGCAGATGTCTTTCCTGCCCTCTAGCGGGGGGGGTGGGGGGAAGTCACCCTCATGAGATGAGCCTCATCAGAGCGTGGCTTCCTGGGCTTTTTAGAGTTCTGTGTGACTTTTTAAAATTACGTGTCTGTCCTTTCATTATTTGGAGCATATTTCCAGCACCTTCTGATGTTTACTGGCAACAGCTGAGGAAGTGCAGGCAGCCCTGGGATCGTGGCTTATTAACTGGAAATGTGTCGCCCTACCCCGGACCTCTGTCCCCTCCACTGGGGACAACTGTCAGACCACCTGGGGTCGGGGTGACTGTCTCCAAGACATGAGGGAGGCCCGCTTGGCTATCTTCTCTCTCCGAGTCTGGGGTCCCCACCGTGGGCTGAGCAACTGCCTCGACGCACCCGCTCGGGGAGGAGCCCGTGTCCCTTCTGTCTGTGACGCTTGCCAAGTGGCTCGCCCTCTCTGGTTGTGTAGCGCACCTGCGGAGGATTGGCCGGTGACTCTCTTTGCTGTAACCGTAACTCCTGGCCGTAGATGTCGTGTTTTTATGCTGTATTTTCAATAAATGCCTCCGGGGCTCTGCTTTTACCGGTGGGCATCAGGTACCATGTCTTTTTTGTTTGTTCTTTCACGTTCCTTCAGAGGCTTCGGGGCCGGGGCAGGGGACTTCGGGGCACAGGCATGCCCACAGGAGTCAGGTTTGGTTGCTGGCGACGTGGGGCCCAAACGGCTCGGGGCCCGGCTGTCCTCCGTGCCCTGCCGGGTCCTCTTTTCCCCCATCTCAATAAACTGCTGCCTAAAATGTAGTCCTTCTCTCCTTCCGTTCCCATCTCGGACTGGGATTGGATCGAAAAAGACCGGCCGGCCCCCTTAGTGTCAGGTGGGACATGGGACAGCCGCCTGCCCCGTCCCAGAACCCATTTATTCCAGTAAGCGTACAGACTTGGATTCGGGGCTGAGGGCCTCTGTGAGATGGGGTTTGAGGGTGCAGGGTGGGCTGTGGGGGGTTGCTAGCCAAAGGAAGCGTCGATACTTCTGAGCCCTCTGGAGCCTGGCAGAGGTTCCCAGGGACCGGCTGCTGCGGAGCCGTGATGGCGGCTCCCTTGGCACTTTACAGAGGATCTGCCAGGTGACTGATGTCACTGCGTGTCACAGCAGGAGGGCTCGGGCCAAAGAACCGGCTCCTTAGGGCCAACGTTCTTAGTGGAATTAGAGATTGGGAACAGCTCCTGTGCCACATGGCTGAGAGACTCGGGTTTGAAGCCCTGGGGCGGCCCCAGGTGTGAGCAGGATCTGGGAAAAGCAGGGAAGAGCTGGAAAGACCCTGGAAGCTTCTCCTGGGCACAGCTGACCACCTCTGAACCCTGCAGCCCGACGTGGAGCCTCTTCCCTCACTTGCCCGGGTTGGGGTTGGGGCGGACACGCTGTGGGCTCTGCGGTAGGGGGTGGGCACAGGAGGCCCGGTGCAGAGTCCTGCTGCCATCTGCTGGACAGGCCTAGACGTGCCCTGCCCCCACCCGGTCCTGGGGAGGTGCAGGGCCCGGCAGGGGACAGAACTTCAGGGCGATGAGAGCAAGCTGACCAAGGGCCCCAGTGCGCCTTCCCTGCCCCCACAGCGAGTGAGGTGCCCCCCCGCCGACCTCTGGTTCTTCCCCCACAGTAGTGGCACCATCCTGCCACATGGTATTACAGTTCTACAGTGACAACACCAAATCGATCTGTGTAGAGACAAAACCTTCCTCAGGTGTCTGGGGGGCGAGGAGGTGGCTGTCCCGACAGGCTTGAGCAGAACAAGTCAGCATGCGGAGTGCGGGCGCGTCCAGCCTGGAGTTGGCCAGATCCTTCTGGTGATTGGCTTGATGAGTTCCTGCCACGATTTCCCCATGTCCCCCAAACCCGGGGACCCCGCCTTTGGTTCTGACATCCACGTAGCCTCGTGGCACTTTGGAAAGCATTAAAAAGGTCCCATGATTCTCTAGGAGGGCAACGGTGGACCCCACACTTGCCTCCTAGAATTTATTTAAAGCAAGGGCTGGGAGTGAAAAATAGGGAAATGAGTGGACTGTAGTTTGGCTAGCGGTGCCCTGAGCGTTTGGTCACGAGGGGCGTGGGGTGGGTCCCTTAGCAGGCCCCCGGCTCTGCTGCAGGGCCTGAGCCAGCCTGCCCGTCCATCGGCACCTTGTCCATGGCCCCAATTGTCCCTTGGGACTGAGGTAAGGCTGGACCTCCCCCAGCTCCGTCCAGACGGCGGACTAATGTATTAACTGCCTCTGTCCCTCTCCTCTCTGTAATCGGTTGCCTTAATCAGAAGCATGGTTGACAATCTGGCTTGGGGCCACCAGGTCCTGTTGTGTGATTTGTCCCATTCTCGAGTTAAAGAGACACTGTCACCTTCTGTCTTTTGGGCAGCCTTGCGATCGTTTACCGGTCTTTTCTAAGCTTGAGTTAGGCTTGTGTCCCCCAAGAGCCTCTTCCCGGGGATCCCCAGCCTGGCCGCCTCCCCCTCCGCTCTGCAAGGGGCTTTAGACGAGTGTCCAAGACCAGAGAGCAGTAGCGGGATTCCCGGAGCCGGGCCCTGGGGAGCAGGGGGCTCCCTGAGCTCAGCCGCCCTGTCAGGAGGCTCTGGGCACGGAGCACAAAGTGGCCAGCGGGAGCCCAAGGCCTTTGGCCTTCGTTGAGTGCCTGGCACGGGGTTGGGCATTTTTGCTTCAAGGCGAAGGGTTGGCGTGAGGTTGGCAAGGGCGACAGTGTCACTTTAATACCGAGACTAGTAGTGGAACTAGTTTGCTGTGAAGCCGAGGGGTGGGTGGGATCGGAGGGGGCATGCAGGGAGGGGTGGGTCACGCTGGCTCCTCCCAGCCACCCGCTCCTAATGGCGTGAATGTGGTCGGACTGCTTTTCTGCTTCAACTAACGCACGCCTCCCTGGGACCCCGGCTCCGGCCCCACCTGGCACCAGGGGAGAGGGGACAGGGGACGGGACCTGGGCGGAGGCCGCAGCCTCCAGAGCCACCCAGGGCTGACCCTCCTCTTCTCTCCCGTGCCTGACGGGCTCTTGCAGGTATTTCCCACGCGACGCGGCCGGCCTTTTCCCCGCGAGCCCCAGCCTGGCTGTGCCCTGCCCGAGCACGGGCCCTTCGCCGTCTCTGTTCCTCCCCACCGCACCCGGCTTCCTGCCACTCGCCAACCAGCAGCTGTTCCGGTCTCCTCGACGGGCCTCACCCTCGTCGCTGCCAGGCCGCCTCAGCCGGGCCCTCTCGCTGGGAACCATACCCTCCCTGACACGGGCAGGTAAGAGGCGCTGGACGCGGGCGGGCAGAGCAGGGCTGGGCGCGGGGCGGGAGGGTGCTGAGAGCTCCCGGGAGGGTGGGGCTGGTTGGGGCCAAGGTGGGGACAGGGGCCCAAGCTCCCAGGCCTCTGTAGGACCAGCTCACATCGGGTCCTGCCAGAGCCTTCTGATGGCCGTCTTAGGGACAGAGATGCAGACTGTGGGAGAAGTCTGCCTCTTGTTTTGCTCTTTAAAATATGAAATGACTGGGGTGCCTAGCTGGCTCAGTCAGTAGAGCATATGACTCTTGCTCTCAGGATCGTGAGTTCAAGCCCCATGTTGGGCATAGAGCCTGCTTTAAAAAAAAATAAAGAAAAAGAAATGACTCCGGTTAATGTCTACGGGGTGAAAGGCAGGGACTTGACCTCCGAGGGGCACCTTCCTACCCCTCCTGTCCCCTGTAGTCAAGCTCAGGGTTGAAAAAGTGAGCCCCAGGCTCCCTACCACTGCCCCTCCCTCTGGAGAAAAGCTGCCGGTCTGATGGAGGCAAAATGGGGGTGCTCAGACTCCCCCATCACCAGCCGGGCTGGTGATGGTACACGCACCGTGGTGGGGTTGTGAGCACCTGATGTGGGCAACCGAAGTGCCAGGAACCATCAGCGGGGCGCAGCCAAGCAGGCCCCCAGCCCATGACCCTGGGAGGGTCTAGAGCCAGAGGCTGTGCCTCAGGGCTGAGATGGGCATGATGTCAGGGAAGCTTCTAGAACAGGGCCGTTAAAGGCCATTTTGCGTATATCCCGAGTTCATACTCGGATGGTTTTCCTTTTCCCCCTGAACAGAGATGTCCCTGTCTGCTCCCTGTGGCCCTTGAAGAGAACGTGGGGAGGGAACAGGCCGACTGCTGAGGGCGCCAGGAGCAGCCCTGCCCTGGGCCCCACGCTCCCGGGATGACTCCCAGTGCACTCTGACCCCGGGGGGCCGAGCTGGGGGGCTCCCATTTCCAGCGCCTTGGAGCGGTGGGTGGCATTCCAGAGCCGGCGCAGGCCGTGGAGGCAGGGTCTCCCACCCATCGTGGAGGACCCGCAGCCTCCCTGTTGCCCTGTGGGGCTGGAGGCAAGGACAGCAGGGCAGTTGTGAGACGCGGGCTGGTCTCGGAATGTCTGGTGATGGGTGGGATCCCAGGGTCTCCCTGCTGGGGGCGTTGAGGATGAGTTTCTGCAGCTCCTTGGCTCAGGTAACCAGGACGCGCTGGTGGTCCGGGGCTCAGGCGCCAGGCCAGGTTCCCGTTTCCTGTGTGTGTCTGTCTCTCTCTCGCCCTACTCGCCTCTGCTCCTCCCTGCTTCCAGCCTCATCCCTGCGCCCCTACAGCTCATGCCTGGCAAAGAGACTGCTCTCCTGGCATCTATAGAGCAGGTTCTGGAAAGGACTCTGTGCTTGGGCAACACGGGCACCCTTACCCAGGCACGGGTTGACCTGGGTCTGTGTCCCTGGGCCTCGTGGGGGAAGGGGCAGGCAGCCGCTGTGACCGAGGGACCCTCGGAGCCCCGAGGGTGGTGAAGCAGCAACCGCTCAGGACGGCACGTGGTGGCCGCTGGATCTTTGCACACTCAGCTCTCAGCCGAGCGCTGGGGGCACATAGGATACGTGGGGGGGGTCTCTGCCCTCGGGGTGCACTTGGCTGAGGAAAAGCAGCATGTTCAGTGCCCCCTGAGGTGCAGCACGGCCAGCAGGCACAGGTTAGTGGAGGGGAGGACCCCAGAAGGCTGAAGGAGTAGCTATGGGGGCAAGGGGCCGCTGTGGGTTTCTTTCTCTGCAAGCTGAGAGCGGGCCAAGCGGATCTCTCCTCAGTGAGAGACGCAGTCAGTTGAGGGCGCGTGTTTTCGTGAAAGCCTGACGTGAGTGACAAAGGTTAAGTGTCAGCAGAGCGGGGACTGGAGAATGGAGGGGGTGGGTGGCTGTTGTCACCACGGCCCGACACGGGTCGCCCTTCTCTTTCCTCTCCAGACTCGGGGTATCTGTTCAGCGGGAGTCGCCCCCCGTCTCAGGTGTCTCGATCTGGAGAGGTTCCTGTTTCAGGTAAGGAGGACGGGGAAGCTGCTTTCAACGGGGGCAGTGCGGGGCTGGGGTTTCCAGAGCATCCTGTGGGTGGGACAGCAGTGTGGTTAAGCGTGAGCTTTAGGGTCTGACAGGGGCCTGTGTTCAAGTCTCAGCCCTGTGCCTCCCAGCTGTGCAGCCCTGGGCAAGTGACTCACAGCGCTGTGCCTCGCTTTCCTCTTCTGTGAAATGGGCGCGGTAGTTTCCAGGATTTTATACCATGCCGTCACCCTTACCAGTGATGA